AAAAATCAGTTGTCTCACATTCTCTTTAGAATTACCAATCATACATATTTAAAAATATTATTTACTGTTATATTTATTATAACAATAAATTTATGACATAAATAAAATTAATATATATTTTTAAAATTCTCATATAATTTACTTATATTTTATTTTAATCAATATTTAGAATTATATATATTTTAAAAAATTAATATTTATATTTAGTATAAATATTATCCCCATTGCTAAATTTTCTAAGTTCATCACTTGCTTTAGTCAATAGTCCGACCAATTTGACTATCTAATCTGATTCTTAAACAATACACAAGACAATGAGGGGAGGTGGTGGATAGAAGAAGGGGCAACAACATTGAAAAATGTACTTTTCTCTACAAAATCTCATCACACTCCCTCCATTTTTATTTGTAAGAGAAAAAAATTATATCACATAATTTAAGAAAATTAGTTAATTATCTTAATTGTGTTTGAAAATAAAAGAATTAGACTATAATTCTCTTCATTAATTGTGTTAATCAAGCTTTTATTAATTGTTTCTTATGCCTATGAATGAAAAAATTATGAGGGATAATTTAAAAAGTATAATAAATATTTATCAAAAAATGTGATTTTACTTATATAAAAAAAGTTTAAGAATGTTAGTTTCATGAAAATAGAGGGTGTACATGAACAGAAAATTTGGGAGAAAAAATAGTAGGACCTACCACTTATTTTATCTCCAGTTTTTTCTACCTTCCTATTCTCTCCTCATCCAATTTTTTTGTCCCCTTGTTTTCTTTTTTTTTTTCCCTCCCTATCTTTTCATTCTATCTTAGAAAAAACAAAAAAAGCAATCTCATAAATATTGGGATCCCCCATGCAACGCATGAGTTTTGGGTCTCTGTTCTAATATACAACCATACTGAGCCCAATGCCATAACATAAACCACCGGCTTGGTGACTACTTTAGTCACAAAGTTTTCAAATGCACAGGCTCAACCCACATAACATCAATCTATTTAACTGAAGCTTTTCTTTAATGAATCTTCACAAATAGTTCTCATTTTCAAGAAAAGTATATAAAACCAAATAATTTAGAAAAGTCATGTTCACTAATTAAGATGAAATTTCTTTTAAGGAATGGCAATGTGATTTTAATATGTCATATTGTGACTCATCTACTGCAAAAATGCCTGGAACAAATAAATTTTAGTAATTTTAATATTTCCATTCCATGTTTTGACTATAGTGCAACTATTTCTTGCTGTCATAACATGAAATCTCACCCATTTAGAATCTTTTTTGATAATATTTACTTATTATTTATGAGTTTACTTACAGTTATATTCTTATGCCATTTATCTGTTTATATGCCAACTCAGAAGCCACTATCGAGTTCAAGAGTTTTTTTTTTTTGGATTAAAAGGAAAATTATATTAATCAAAGTTCAAGGTTACATGGGGAAGGAAAAGACTAAAAGTAATAATAAGGAAATTGATTTGCTGATAAAATAGAGAAGAACATTTTTGAGAAAAAACAGCCACAATGATAAATGTCTTTGCCAATAGATGATGATTGATCATTGTGCTTTGAGAAGATATCAGGGCAGATGAGATTCTTGAGATGGCTTTGAATGAACAAACTTGTGTTTTCTGCTGGTAGGGTAATCCAAAAGAGGACTAATCCAAAAGTTGAGTTGGGCAGATGAAATATCTCTTGTTTCATTGACCAAACTTAAGACATTATGTTTATATCACCACACTTTGTATGATATGATTAGAATGGGTGTCTTGATAAATTTAGAAATTCTTAGCTTCATCAATTCATCCATGAAGGAGTTCCCTTGTGATATAGGACAATTGACTCATCTTAAAATATTGGATTTGAGCATGCGTGGAATTGAGATAATCCCTACCAATATTTTGAGAGAGACACAAGTACCCAATGCTTCAAAGATACTATCATCAAAGGAAGAAGATGAAAAAAAATGTAATAGAATGGTGACTTCAATAGAACAATTAAAAAGATGTTTGTGGATATGGTATGTTTTGATTTGGCTCAAAAATTTCTTGTAAATATAAGAGGGGAAAAATGACTCCATTCAATTTTTTTTGGACCTATAGTAGGAACTTGTTATGGACAAACTGTTTGAAAAGGCCAATTGTTTTTTGGTTTGCTTTAACGGTCTTTACTTTTCTTTTTAACCAACAGTACACATCAATTTTTGCAGGGGAATTCCGTAGCTTCATGACTCAATACCCTGAGTTAAGAGAATTGTGGTACAGCCAAGAATTTAAGCCAGAAATGTTTGGTAATTTGAGAAAGCTAGTAGTGCATAAAAGTGAGTTTTTATCAGATGTGCTCCTACCGTTAAATTTGCTGCGTGGACTATCCAACTTAGAAGAGCTTGAAGTAAGTGAATGTGATTCACTAAAAGCTGTGTTTGATTTAAGCAATGTGAGTGGAAAGGAAGTGTCAGTGAAGGAAACCATTCAGCTGAAGAGAATGACTCTCCTTCGTCTACCTATGCTCAAAGACATGGAAACAGAACTTTCAAAAAATTGTCAGTTCTAGAGAAACAACAATAGAAGAAGGAGGAGGAGAAGAAGGTGCTATTCAGCATCAGCAACCAGCATATTCCATTAGACAGGTGTGGCATTGGCTTCTCAACTTGTTTAGATTATATATTTTGAATATTTTTTCATAAGTTTAATTTCATCATATTTATTCCCAATAAATAGTAGGAAAATATTGTTTGCATATTAATAATAAAACACAAACATACAATTTATAATTAATAATTATAATTAATTATAATTATAATTATTTGTTCTCTTAGCTTTTGTATCCTTGTTTCGTAGCGCGCTTTGAAGCCAATTACCAAGCCTTCTGCTTCTAGTTTTAAAGAATTTTTTTTATGTGTTGAAGTATTTAATCATACGTTATGCAAAATAATTACTAGTTAATGATTTAGATTGTAAATATTGGTTCAGACATTTTCACACATAAGAGTTTCATTTTCTACAAATTTTTTTAGATTAATGTATATTTTTGCCCCTTAGCTATTCATATAGGAAGCTTTTAATGTCTTAATTTTTTTGTGACACAACGTCCGATTTTAACATTCGAAAATAATACAATATTGCCCCAATTATTAACTTTTGATATTTACAAATTCTCTAAAAACTTACAACTTGACTAGTGTATCTATTATTTACAAGTGAGTGTGTTTGAATTGTGAAATAATATTTAAAATTTTGAGAATAGATATAATAATAAAATTTAATTATTACATATTAAAGTATTAATATTTGAATAATATATTATTGAAACAAATATATTATTTTTTAATCAACTAACATTGTTTTCAACCGTTTGTGACTTAACAATTATTTGCCAGTTAAATTGGTTGTCAAAATGATATTTTAGTATTTTACATAGATAAAAAATAACATTTGTTTCTTGAAATAATTATTCAGTTTTATATTTTATAGTAAATATTTTGTGTAACTTTGAGAAAACTTTATAGTTATTTTAGGAAGAATGACAAATAAATCCCATCCAAATAACTAAATGATAAAAGAGTACCATGAAATGGAATAATTACTTTGAAAATCCTAGGAACTAACGTTTTTACATGAATAAGAAATAACATTAATCTTTAAAAATTTATCTGTAATTTATGAGACTTAATGTAATTTTTTGAGTCCTTTTTTTGGTGTAATTTTTAAGATTATTTAATATAATTTTTTAAATTAACTAACAATTAAAATTAACAGTGGATACAATATTGCAACTTTTTCTAATGTTGAACGGGGATAATGCACTGCAAAAATTTAGAATACCTAATGTGTATATTTGAAGAATCAAACTTTCCAAAAATCATGCATAAAATTGAATACGGTTAAGCCATTTTTAGATCTCAACAAGACAATTTTTTTTTTTTTAGGCCAACTAACAAGACATTATTGAATCACTTACTTTTCACTATTCTTATAAATTTGACTTTATGTACAGATATGTAAACAAATTTTCAATCTTGTCGTATTTGAGTTCTAAAACCTGGGAGCTTAGTTGGAAATTATGAACAGTTTGTAAATTACAAAAACTCGGTTTGTTATGTGCACAGCCGAAGCAAATGTGGAGTAGAGATCCTCAAACAAGCCTTCGCCTTCATAATCTGCAAGTTGTACACGTTGAAGACTGTAATGTTTAGAATACATTTTCCATTTTCCATAGCCATGGATCTGCCTCAGGAAGAAATTACCATAAAGGATGCATGGAAATAAAGGAAATTGTTTCAGCCAAAGCACGGCCCTTAGATTGTCCTCCAAAATTTGAATTTAATCGTATGAGCTCATTAGTCCTTTGGAATTTAACAGAACTCCGAGGGTTTTTTGCTGGAAATCACAGTTTAGCATGTCCATCATTGAAGGAATTAGATGTCCGCGGTTGTTTCAAATGGGAGCTATTCATGAAACAGGGTGCTAGCAGCAAAGGAAGAGTCTTTGATCGTAGTCTGCAAGTCTCAATGCAAAAGTCTTCTTTCCCACTTGAAGAGGTATGAATTAGTATTATAATGCCCCAAACGTGAAACCATGGACATTAACGCATGGGTTTCTAATTTTTCTAGGGTGAATCAAGTCTGTTAGCTAGCTATGTGTGCTGTATCAGATCGTTTCCCATTGCTTTGGACAAAATTTCTAGTATAATAAAATTGTTTTACCTTAGATATTTTCATTTGTTTACATGCACTTATCTGGTATAGGTGATTTGCAACTTGGAGACGTTGGGCCTCAACTATGAAGATGCTAGGGTGATATTACAAGGTCAATTTTCTGGAGAGAACTTCAGCAAACTCAAATCTCTATATTTGGCCCACTTTACAGATGGGCAAGCTACATTTCCGTATTGGTTTGTACAAAACATAACCACTCTCCAAACACTGCTTGTTGAACATAGTTCTTTCAAGGAGGTTCCAACATGGCAGGCAAAATGGGATTCAAACCCGAATCAAAGAATTGACGCTCAATCAATTGCATGAACTCCAGCACATATGTAAAGAAGGATTCCCAATGGACCCAGTTCTTGAGATTCTTGAAGTCTTATATGTGGGTGGATGTTCCAAATTGAAGCACCTGCTACCTTCCTCTGCAACTTTTAATCACCTAACAGATTTAGAAGTCGAAGATTGCAGTGGATTGATTGACTTATTTACCTCATCAACAGCAAGAAGTCTTGTCAAATTAACAACAATGAAAATAAGGAACTGCTATTCACTAGAGCAAGTTGTGGCAGAAGAGAGAGATGAGCCCAAAGATGTAATTTCATTCAACAGCTTAGATGTTTTGGAACTTGAATGTTTGCCAAAATTCAAAATGTTTTGCTCAAGCAATTGTTCATTGGAGCTTCCACAGTTATGGAGAGTTTGTATCAGCAAATGCCCAAGAATGGAGATCTTCTCTTTGGGAAAAACACACATGCCAAAGCTTGGGAATGTTATAACACAGAAAGAAAACCACTTGCAAGGTGACCTTAATACTGCACTAATCAAGATCTTCCAAGATAATGTAAGTTTTTATTTAGCCAATTATTTTGAAAACAGCCACAATTAATATCATTTTTTCTTTATATATTGACCTTCTTAAATCTCTTTTGGTTAAGTGGTAGCTAGGTACAAAATAGTAGCCAATTGCTATTTTTTTTAAGAAAATTGTTTTGGCCTTTTATTATTATCGTTTTTTTTATTCCGGTATCCTAGGAAGTTGGGGGTATTACCACCTCCCACTCCCTTTTTTATTATCATTTATATGCCCTAAAGAGCACCTTCCACTCCCTTTTTTATTATCATTTACATCCTTTAGTTAACTAACCTGTTGAAATAAAAGAAAACTGGCTAATTAATTTGTTGACAAAAAGGATCATTCGTTTGCAAACTATATCGGTTTAAGTAACTTAATTTTTTATTGACAAAAAAACATTACGCAAACCTCAAATAAACAGATAAAATTATTGAATGTAAATATTTATTGCTGTCATATGTTGTTTACATGCCTACCTTACTTAGGCCATTGGGGAAAGAGATAAAGGAGATTACGAGGAATCTTCAAGAAAAGTATCAGAAATTAATGGAGCATCAAGCTTGGAGGATACAACCAAACAAGAAATTCACAAGCTTCCAAGTCCATCTGATGATAAAGAGCAAAAGGAAAATATCTTATCAACGGATCCTCAACATGCAGGTTTTCTTGATGCTGTCTTGTTTTTCTCCATTTTCCCACTACATCAACAAATGCAGCTTTAACTTTTTAGGAGAGGAAGTATTTTTTTTTTTAAACTTTTTTTTACAAGATTGTGTCATTTTTTTTTCTAATTATTTTAAAAACTTATTTTTTTTACTCCAGCAATAATGAATGAAACTGCCCAGAAAGCACAAACCCCTGCTACAATACAGGACATAGGTTCTGATCTGGTTTTTTACTTTGTAAATCTTTATTAATGATCTAGAATTGCTTTTTCCTTGTGCTATGACTCTGTTATAATACTTCTTGGCTTATTTGTGATTCTAATTAAAATCTATTGGAATAAACAAATTATTCAGAAATTCACCCTAGCAGCATTTATATTTATTTTACAAAAATCTTGTGTCAATATGTGTTTTATTTTAGGACAAATATAATTTAAGACCCCTACATTTTGCTCGAATTTTATTATTAATCTTTACAATTTTTTTTAGTGTTTTAGATTCCTACACTTTTGTTTTTTTGTTATTTTAGATCCCTCTACTTGAAGGGATTTAAAATAATGAGAAATAAAAATGTAGGGACCAAAAATATAAAAAAAAAATGTAGGAACCAATAATAAAACTTAAGTAAAGTGCAGAGATTAAAAATTATGTTTTCTCTTTATTTCATTTATTTGTTTAGATAATAGAACTGAGAGATGCACGAGACCTTTGATTCAATCAGGTTGTTCTCTCGTCTTGCAGTCTTCAATTTTCTAATAATGAACTTCTATTCTACTATGTTTGATGATTCATTGGCTTGATTAGTTTTTTTTTTTAAAAATTTTGTATCACATTTATTAACTGAAATTAACAAGAGGATTAATGATATGACGACCCGGAAATCCCTCAGTGATAACTTGTTCAAGTAGATCACAATGTCTATAAATGTCGAAAACACAAATTGGAAAAATGTATTCTAAACTCTTTTCAATGAAGAAATCATATTTATTTTTTCTTTTAAATCATTTTTTGGTCGAATTCTTTTAAAACATGCATTCATTTTATTTACTTACTTTTTAGAAAAACAAACTAATGGTCTAAATTATTGTGTCATTTTTTAATGACTTCCAATAATACTCAGGATAAATTACTAATTCTAAGTCTCTCTATTGGGTGGATTGATCATTAGGATTAACAAATTATATGACTCAAAAAATTCGAGCTGAAGAGATTTTATTGAATCCAATCAAAACTTTTAAAAAGAAACTGATAATAAGAGAAAAAATCATTTCTTTTTAAAAAAAATTTCCAAAATTTTATGTTACTCTATTTCATAAATTTTTTTTTAACATTTTTTTTTGTTTAGCTAAGGAAAGTCAAAGGATGCATGACACCAATGATAGGGTCTCAATTCAGGGTTGGGATCACATGCAGTGGTTCGTGTGCAGTGTTTGGGAAGTGCGCCCACAGTAGCCATTAGATCGATCTTGTGGATGAGAGAGGCATTGGTGTAAAAGTAATTTATTAGCAGTCACACACACAAACAAAATTTGGGGATATCAACTAGATACTTAGATTTCCCTTCCATGATACTCAAAGTCGATTTATAATCCCCACATCCATGGCCAACAAAATCAACAAAAACATAAATAAAATCATCTATGAAACATAAAATCAACCAAAACTTGAAATTCATATGGAAAAGACAAAAATCAACCAGATCTGTGGCAAAAGCAAAAAAAAAAATCTGTTGAGGACCATAACCACCATAATCAATATGATTTTTTTTTCTTTTGGTCCTCAACAGATTTTTTTTTTCTTTTGCCACAGATCTCGTTGATTTTTGTCTTTTCCATATGAAAAAAAATCTGTTGAGAACCAAAAGAAAAAAAGAATTCATATCGATTATGGTGGTTGTGGTCTTCAACAGATTTATTGTTCTTTTGCCACAAATCTCGTTGATTTTTGTCTTTTCCATATGGATTTGGGATTATAAATCGACTTTAAGCATCATGGAAGGGAAATCTGAGTATCTAGTTGATATCCCCATATTTTGTTTGTGTGTGTTGACAGCTAATAAATTACTTTTACACCAATGCCTCTCTCATCCACAAGAACAATCCAATGGCTATTGTGGACACACTTCCCAGACATTGTGCGCTAGCTACTGTATGTGATCTAAATCCCAATTTGGAAATTATATATTCATCTTATTTTGTTGTCTTAACTTTATCATAAATGACTTCTTTTGTGTCAAATGACATTGTTGTAGTATTCTTTTGGTTAATTAACTACTATAATCTTCTGTTATGCCAACTTAAATATGTAAGAGAAGAAACCCTCAAATGACTTCTTGTGCTTTAACTTTTGGAAGCATTTTTTTTTCTGTTTTCTTTACTATATATCATGTCATTCTATTTGCTGAGTATTTTCATGAATTTTTTTTTTTTTGGACTTTTTGACTCAAGATGTGAACGAGACTATTGAGAAACCCTTCATTCAAACTGCCCAGGAAGCACAAAGATCAGATGCAGTACAAGATGAAGGTTCTAACCTTATTTAATTTTGATGGATCTTTGATCTATTACTCTTGATTAATTAATTAATTAGTTAGTTAATAATTCTATCTTTCTATCATGTTAACTGAAATTCCTTAGAACAATCACATGAGCCAACAACATGTCCCAAGGAGAATATGCTCAACCAGCCCGCAACCTTTGTAACTAGTGACAAGAAAGACAATAATGGACTTACTTGCTCTTTAGAAGGAAGTTATTAATTTATTTTTATATTAAAAAAATCCTCTCTTATAATTTTTTTTCCATTACTTTCTAGCTATTGGAACTCAAGAGATTCATGACACCACTAAGAAACCCTTGATTCAAAGTGACCAAGATGTAGAGAAACTTGCCACAGCACAAACCATAGGTTCTTATTTGTTTTGTTTCCTTTTTCTTTCTCTTTTCTTGGGTAGTATTCTTTGGATAAACTAATAATTATTATACCATGGTGTTAATAAAAATCTACTAGAAGAATCACATGATTCATATGTCGAGACGCAAGAGATGTGTGATACCACCAAAAAGCCTTCAATTCTAGCTACTCATAATGAACCAAACTCTTACATAATTCCTGATGTAGGTAATGATTTTGTCTTGCAAGCTCCAGTAGAATTGCAAGAGGGTTTCCAGCCTTATAATGCTTTTTTCATTACTTTCTAGATATTGGAACGCAAGATATTCATGACACCACAGAGAAAACCTTGATTCAAAGTGATAAAGATACAGAGAAACTTACTATAGCACAAACCATAGGTTCTTATTTATTTTATTTACTTTTTCTTTCTCTTTTTTTTGGTAGTATTTTTTGGATAAGCTAACAATTATTTTACTATGGTGTTACTAAAAATTTGTAAGAAGAATCACATGATTCATATGTTGAGCCTAAAGAGATGTGCGACACCATCAAGAAACCTTTAATTCCAGCTGCTCAGAATGAACCAAACCCAACAATAATTCTTAATGCAGGTACTAATTTTGTCTTGCAAGCACCAGTGAAATTTTGCAAGAGAGTTTCCAAACTTATAATGCATTTTTCACTACTTTTCAGCTATTGAAACTCAAGAGCTTCATGACACTATGGAGAAACCCTTAATTCATAGTGACCAAGATGCAAAGAAACATGCCACAGCACAAGCCATAGGTTTTTATTTGATTTGTTTCCCTTCTCTTTTCCTTTTTTTAAGTAGTATTCTTTGGATGAAATAACAATTATTCTACCATGGTGTTAATAAAAATCTGCTAGAAGAATCATGTGATTCATATATTGAGACTCAAGAGATGTGTGACGCTATCAAAAAGCCTTCAATTCTAGCTGATCAGAATAAACCAAACTTGTCCACAGTTCCTGATGCAAGTAATGATTTTGTCTTACAAGCTCCAATGAAATTTTATAAGAGAGTTTCCTGTCTTATAATGCTTTTTCACTACTTTCTAGCTATTGAAACTCAAGAGATTCATGACACCTCAGAGAAACCCTTGATTCAATATGACCAGAATGTAGAGAAAGTTGCCACAGTACAAACTACAGGTTCTTATTTGTTTTGTTTCTTTTCTCTTTCTCTTTTTTTAGATAGTATTCTTTGGATGAAATAACAATTATTATACCACGGTCTTAATAAAAATCTATTAGAAGAATCACATGATTCATATGTTGAGGCTCAAGAGTTGTGCGACACCATCAAGAAGCCTTCAATTCTAGTTGATCAGAATGAACAAAACTCTTCCATAAATCTTGATGCAGGTAATGATTTTGTCTTGCAAGCTCCAGTCAAATTTTGTAAGAGAATTTCCAGTCTTATAATGCTTTTTTCACTACTTTCTAGCTATTGAAACTCAAGAGATTCGTGACACTACGGAGAAATCATTGACTCAAAGTGACCAAGATGCAGAGAAACTTGCCACAGCACAAACTAGAGGTTTTTATTTGTTTTGTTTTCCTTTTTTTAAGTTAGTATTCTTTGGATGAAATAACAATTATTCTGCCACGGTGTTAATAAAAATCTTCTAGAAGAATCACATGATTCATATATTGAGACTCAAGAGATGTGCGACACCATCAAGAAGCCTTTAATTCTAGCTGATCAGAATGAACAAAACTCTTCCACAATTCCTGATGCAGGTAATGATTTTGTCTTGCAAGCTCTAGTGAAATTTTGTAAGAGAATTTCCTGTCTTATAATGCTTTTTTCACTACTTTCTAGCTATTGAAACTGAAGAAATTCGTGACACCATGGAGACACCCATGACTCAAAGCGACCAAGATGTAGAGAAACTTGCCACAGCACAAACTATAGGTTCTTATTTGTTTTGTTTCCCTTCTCTTTCTCTTTTTTTAGGTATTGTTCTTTAAATAAAATAATAATTATTCTACCATGGTGTTAATAAAAATCTTCTAGAAGAATCACGTGATTCATATGTTGAGACTCAAGAGATGTGTGACACTATCAAGAAGCCTTCAATTCTAGCTGATCAGAATGAACAAAACTCTTCCACAAATCTTGATGCAGGTAATGATTTTGTCTTGCAAGCTCCAGTCAAATTTTGTAAGAGAATTTCCTATTTTATAATGCTTTTCTCACTACTTTCTAACTATTGAAACCAAGAGATTCGTGACACCACAGAGAAACTGTTGACTCAAAGCAACCAAGATGCAGAGAAACTTGCCACAGCACAAACCAGAGGTTCTTATTTGTTTTGTTTCCCTTCTCTTTCTCTTTTTTAATTTAGTATTCTTTGGATGAAATAACAATTATTCTACCACGGTGTTAATAAAAACTTCTAGAAGAATCACTTGATTCATATGTTGAGACTCAAGAGATGTGCGACACCATCAAGAAGCCTTCAATTCGAGTTGATCAGAATGAACAAAACTCTTCCACAAATCTTGATGCAGGTAATGATTTTCTCTTGCAAGCTTCAACAAATTTTGTAAGAGAATATCCTATCTTATAATGCTTTTTTCACTCCTTTCTAGCTATTGAAACTGAAGAGATTCCTAACACTACAAAGAAAGCCTTGACTCAAAGTGATCAAGATGCAGAGAAACTTGCCATAGCACAAACTAGAGGTTCTTATTTGTTTTGTTTCCCTTCTCTTTCTCATTTTTTAGGTATTTTTCTTTGAATAAAATAACAATTATTCTATCATGGTGTTAATAAAAATCTACCAAAAAAAATGAAATGATTCATATGTTAAGACTCAAGAGATGTGCGACACCATCAATAAGCCTTCAATTCCAACTGCTTAGAATGAACTAAAGTCTTCTACAATTCCTGATGGAAGTAATGATTTTGTCTTGCAAGCTCTAATGAAATTTTGGAGGAGAATTTCCTTTCTTATAATTCTTTTTTGACTATTTTCTAGCAATTGAAACTCAAGAGATTCATGACACCATGGAAAAAACCTTGATTCAAAGTGACCAGGATGCAGAGAAACTTACCGCAGCACAAACCAGATGTTCTTATTTGTTTTGTTTCCCTTTTCTTTCTCTTTTTTAAGGTAGTATTCTTTAGATGAAATAAAAATTATTCTACCACGGTGTTAATAAAAATATGCTTGAAGAACCACGTGATTCATATGTTAAGATAGATGATTCATAATAAAAATCTTTCTTTTTTTTCTCTATTTTTTAGCTATTGGAACTCAAGAGATTCATGACACCACAAAGAAACCGTTGACTCAAAGTGACCAAGATGCAGAGAAACTTGCCACAGCACAAACCAGAGGTTCTTACTTGTTTTATTTCCTTTTTCTTTCTCTTTTTTAAGGTAGTATTCTTTAGAAGAAATAACAATTATTCTGCTACGGTGTTAATAAAAATCTTCTAGAAGAATCACATGATTCATATGTTGAGACTCAAGAGATGTGGGACACCATCAAGAAGCCTTCAATTCCAGCTGATCAGAATGAACAAAACTCTTCCACAAATCTTGATGCAGGTAATGATTTTGTCTTGCAAGCTCCAGTCAAATTTTGTAAGAGAATTTCCTGTCTTATAATGCTTTTTTCACTACTGTCTAGCTATTGAAACTCAAGAGATTCGTGACACCACGGAGAAATCATTGACTCAAAGTGACCAAGATGCAGAGAAACTTGCCACAGCACAAACCAGAGGTTCTTATTTGTTTTGTTTCCCTTCTCTTTCTCGTTTTTAATTTAGTATTCTTTAGATGAAATAACAATTATTCTGCCACGGTGTTAATAAAAACTTCTAGAAGAATCACGTGATTCATATGTTGAGACTCAAGAGATGTGCGACACCATCAAGAAGCCTTCAATTCCAGTTGATCAGAATGAACAAAACTCTTCCACAAATCTTGATGGAGGTAATGATTTTGTCTTGCAAGCTCCAGTCAAATTTTGTAAGAGAATTTCCTATCTTATAATGCTTTTTTCACTACTGTCTAGCTATTGAAACTCAAGAGATTCGTGACACCACGGAGAAATCATTGACTCAAAGTGACCAAGATGCAGAGAAACTTGCCACAGCACAAACCAGAGGTTCTTATTTGTTTTGTTTCCCTTTTCTTTCTCCTTTTTAAGGTAGTATTCTTTAGATGAAATAACAATTATTCTGCCACGGTGTTAATAAAAACTTCTAGAAGAATCACGTGATTCATATGTTGAGACTCAAGAGATGTGCGACACCATCAAGAAGCCTTCAATTCTAGCTGATCAGAATGAACAAAACTCTTCCACAAATCTTGATGCAGGTAATGATTTTGTCTTACAAGCTCCAGTCAAATTTTGTAAGAGAATTTCCTATCTTATAATGCTTTTTTCACTACTTTTTAGCTATTAAAACCGAAGAGATTCGTGACACCACGGAGAAACCCTTGACTCAAAGCAACCAAGATGTAGAGAAACTTGCCACAGCACAAACTAGAGGTTCTTATTTGTTTTGTTTCTTTTCTCTTTCTCTTTTTTTAGATAGTATTCTTTGGATGAAATAACAATCATTCTACCATGGTCTTAATAAAAATCTACTAGAAGAATCACATGATTCACATGTTGAGGCTCAAGAGTTAACCGACATCATCAAGAAGCCTTCAATTCCAGGTGATAAAAATGAACCAAACTCTTCCACAATTCCTAATGCAGGTAATGATTTTGTGTTGCAAGCTCCAGTGAAATTTTGTAAGAGAGTTTCCTGTCTTATAATGCTTTTTTTTAACAACTTTCCAGCTATTGAAACCCAAGAGATTCGTGACACTATAGAGAAACCCTTGACTCAAAGTGACCAAGATGGAGAGAAACTTGCCACAGCACAAACCATAGGTTCTTACTTTTTGTTTCCTTTTCCTCTCTCTTTTTTTTTGGGCAGTATACTTTGGATGAACTAAAAATTATTCTACCATAATGTTAATAAAAATCTGTTAGAAGAATCACATGATTCATATGTTGAGACTCATGATTCATAATAAAAATCTCTTTCTTTTTTCACTACTTCCTAGCTATGAGAACTCAAGAGGTTCGTGACACCACGGAGAAGCCCCTGATTCAAATTGACCAAGATGCAGAGAAACTTGCCACAACACAAGCAATAGGTTCTTATTTGTTTTGTTTCCCTTCTCTTTCTCTTTTTTAAGGTAGTATCTTTAGATGAAATAACAATTATTCTGCCACGGTGTTAATAAAAACTTCTAGAAGAATCACGTGATTTATATGTTGAGACTCAAGAGATGTACGACACCATCAAGAAGCCTTCAATTCCAGCTAATCAGAATGAACAAAACTCTTCCACAAATCTTGATGCAGGTAATGATTTTGTCTTGCAAGCTCCAGTCAAATTTTGTAAGAGAATTTCCTATCTTATAATGCTTTTTTCACTACTGTCTAGCTATTGAAACTCAAGAGATTCGTGACACCACGGAGAAATCATTGATTCAAAGTGACCAAGATGCAGAGAAACTTGCCACAGCACAAACCAGAGGTTCTTATTTGTTTTGTTTCCCTTCTCTTTCTCGTTTTTAAGTTAGTATTCTTTAGATGAAATAACAATTATTCTGCTACGGTGTTAATAAAAACATCTAGAAGAATCACGTGATTCATATGTTGAGACTCAAGAGATGTGCGACACCATCAAGAAGCCTTCAATTCCAGCTGATCAGAATGAACAAAACTCTTCCACAAATCTTGATGGAGGTAATGATTTTATCTTGCAAGCTCCAGTCAAATTTTGTAAGAGAATTTCCTATCTTATAATGCTTTTTTCACTACTGTCTAGCTATTGAAACTCAAGAGATTCGTGACACCACGGAGAAATCATTGACTCAAAGTGACCAAGATGCAGAGAAACTTGCCACAGCACAAACCAGAGGTTCTTATTTGTTTTGTTTCTTTTCTCTTTCTCTTTTTCTAGATAGTATTCTTTGGATGAAATAACAATTATTCTACCATGGTCTTAATAAAAATCTACTAGAAGAATCACATGATTCACATGTTGAGGTTCAAGAGTTAACCGACACCATCAAGAAGCCTTCAATTCCAGCTGATCAGAATGAACAAAACTCTTCCACAAATCTTGATGCAGGTAATGATTTTGTCTTACAAGCTCCAGTCAAATTTTGTAAGAGAATTTCCTATCTTATAATGCTTTTTTCACTACTTTTTAGCTATTGAAACCGAAGAGATTCGTAACACCACGGAGAAACCCTTGACTCAAAGCAACCAAGATGCAGAGAAACTTGCCACAGCACAAACTAGAGGTTCTTATTTGTTTTGTTTCTTTTCTCTTTCTCTTTTTCTAGATAGTATTCTTTGGATGAAATAACAATTATTCTACCATGGTCTTAATAAAAATCTACTAGAAGAATCACATGATTCACATGTTGAGGTTCAAGAGTTAACCGACACCATCAAGAAGCCTTCAATTCCAGGTGATCAAAATGAACCAAGCTCTTCCACAATTCCTAATGCAGGTAATGATTTTGTGTTGCAAGCTCCAGTGAAATTTTGTAATAGAGTTTCCTGTCTTATAATGCTTTTTTTAACAACTTTCTAGCTATTGAAACCCAAGAGATTCGTGACACTATAGAGAAACCCTTGACTCAAAGTGACCCAGATGGAGAGAAACTTGCCACAGCACAAACCATAGGTTCTTATTTTTTATTTCCTTTTCCTCTCTCTTTTTTTTGGGCAGTATTCTTTGGATGAACTAATAATTATTCTACCATAATGTTAATAAAATCTATTAGAAGAATCACATGATTCATATGTTGAGACTCATGATTCATAATAAAAATCTCTTTCTTTTTTCACTACTTCCTAGCTATGAGAACTCAAGAGGTTCGTGACACCACGGAGAAGCCCTTGATTCAAATTGACCAAGATGCAGAGAAACTTGCCACAGCACAAGCAATAGGTTCTTAATTGTTTTGTTTCCCTTCTCTTTCTCTTTTTTAAGGTAGTATTCTTTAGATGAAATAATAATTATTCTACCATGGTGTTAATAAAAATCTTCCAGAACAATCACATGATTCGTATGTTGAGACTCAAGAGATGTGTGACACCACCAAGAAACCTTCAATTCCAACTGCTCAAAATGAACAAAACTCTTCCACAATTCCTAATGCAGGTAATGATTTTGTCTTACAAGTTTCAATGAAATTGTGCAAGAGAGTTTCCTATCTTATAATGTTTTTTTCTTTGCCTTCTAGCTATTGAAACTCAAGAGATTCATGACACCCTAGAGAAACCCTTGATTCAAAGTGACCAAGATGTAGAGAAACTTACCACAGCACAAACTACAGGTTCTTATTTGTTTTATTTCTTTTCTCTTTCTCTTTTTTTAGGTAGTATTCTTTGGATGAAATAATAATTATTCTACCACAGTCTTAATAAAAATCTACTAGAAGAATCACATGATTCATATGTTAAGGCTCAAGAGTTGTGCAACACTATTAAGAAGCCTTCAATTTTAGCTAATCAAAATGAACCAAACCCTTCCACAATTCTTAATGCATGTAATGATTTTGTCTTGCAAGCTCCAGTGAAATTTTGCATGATAGTTTCCTTTCTTATAATGCTTTTCTCACTACTTTCTAGTATTTTGAACTCAAGAGATTCATGACACCATGGAGAAACCCTTGATTCAAAGTGACCTAGATGCAGTAAAACTTGCTACAGTACAAAATACAAGTTCTTATCCTATTTTATATGTATTAATTTTTTCTTTTTTTTGATTAGTTTTATCGAATGGACTAATAATTATTCTATCATGGTGTTTACTAAAGAATCACATGATTTATATATCTTTTTAGCAAGATAATTTTCTCTTTTGTCATTATTGATTTAACCTATTTTTTGTTGTGTGTTTTTTAATTTGGCTATTGATTCATCACATTCACAACCTCCAGATCCTATGACTTCATCAATACAAGAATCCAACATTTATAATAACTATAAGGGAATGATTGACATTCCTGAAAAAGACATGCCATATTTGGAGGCTGGGGTAAAGCAACATCCTCAAGTGCTTGATTGGCTGAAAGTAAAACGAAGAAGGATGTTTGCTTCCTCCTTCTTTTCCTTATTTGCTGAGGTGACTCGCCTTTTGAGAACCACTCGGAGAGGTGAATTGACAGAGGATGATCGAAACTACATCAAAGAGTGTTGTGCCGCCTTACAAGGGGTTGGTTTTGATTATTCATGGATCAAGTATGTGCATAGCCGCATTGAGGAATGTGGTGATGGGGAAGACATCAAGAGAAAGCTTGAGGAGGCTGAAGATCAAGCTTTAAAACTGAATGCTCAGCTTGAGTCTATCAAGAAAGATTTAGCTCTTGTGCAATTATCGATAGTGTCTTTTTGTGACAAGGCTAGTAAGCTAGATGATTTCATTGAGTCCTAAAGTTTATGTGTACTCCTTATAAAGCTACCTGATTCGACATTTTCATTTTTAGCACTATACATTTACTTTTATATTTTGATTTGTGGTTTGTCTAATACACATTATTTGTAGTAATATGTCATTTGCACCCATGCAATTGTTCTGTATGTCAGGTATTAAAGGAATTGGCAATGCTATATCCTTCTCTTGATACTATTTTAATTATTGGCTTTGGATTGTGGTGTTGGAGATTAATTTTAAGTCATTCTAAAATAAGAAAATGAATCAAAGCATTTCTTATTTTTAATCTCATTATCTTCAAACAATAAGTGCCTTATTCAAATTTAACAAGATAGAATATGCCTTGTAAATTGAATTCTAAGATTTTGACTAAATAGTTATTTAATATTTTTTTATAGTTTAAAGAACCCGACTGGATGGTCAGATTAGTTGGACCGTTGATTGGACTTGCTAACTACTCGGCTTGAACCAAAAAACTATTTTTATGATTGAGCTAAGTTAAATTAGAGTTGAGTCACCATTAAGTCAGAACTCAAAATTGAGACAAGTATCGAACAAGTCTACAATTCATATAATAAAAAGTTTCGTATAATCATCTTTAATTTGATGATTCTTTAGCTTAATTAATTGTTATAATTTTCTATAATATTGATTGAATTAACTAGAAGAATCAATCATATGACTCAAAATCCTTCAATACGGATAATTGTTTAATCAAATCATAACGTTTATAACTATGGATAATAGGGAAATAAAGTTTTTTCCCCTAGCCATTTACAATGAAGTAATTTATTTTTATTCTTCAAAAACTAATTCATTTTGTTTTGTCAATTTCTTTTACCTTGAAACTAACAATCTAAATTGTAGTTATGTTTGACGAATCTTTCATATAGTATTCATAATATATGCTCCATCTGGTTCTTGATATAAGATAAAGTTTAAAAGTTTCTTTTAGTTCTTAATATAAGGTAAAGTTAGATTAATCAATTTTTTTTTCAATTCTACCCCTTATTTATTTATGGTAAAACATAACTATTAGTCCCTATAGTTTTATTGTGTTTTGTTATTGATTGTTGTACTTTTTTCAATATTCTAGATCCCTTTAGTTTTTCTTATTTATAACATTAGTCCATCTACATTTTAATTTACCCACAGGCATGATGTCGTGCACTAACAAAAGTGTTAAAATTATCTAATATGTAACTAACAACATTAATGAGGATGCTAACATCCTTAAAACACTTGACAATTTGACTTAGCACTAAGTGAAAAAAGGATAATTGGTTTTTGATGAAGACTGTTCTGGCAACTGCACTTGTTAATGTCAGATAGTGATTTTCATGTCATTATGGGTTAAGCCTTTTATCTTATGCATCAAATGTTCTAATATAACACTGTTAATGCTACATTATTGTCTCTTTGATCATATTTAAAAATAAAAAGACTAATGTTGTAGATAGGAAAGCTATAGGGACCTCAAATTTTTTTTAAAAAAAGTACATAAACCAATAACAAAACATAATAAAACTGTAAGGACCAATAGTTATATTTTTCTTTTATATATTATCACTTAATTTTCTAGACAATAATTTATTACGATTATTAATCATAAAAAATAGTAAAATTGAAAAGTTATATGTACATATCTATATTTACAATTTTAAAAATATATCTACTATAATTTGGTTAACCTCTTTTTTTTTTGGAATACTAGGCCTTAAAAAACCCTTGTAAGGAAATCAAAATCAAGTCATGTCTGAGACCTTGGAAAAATCATAAGGTGGTGAGTTGTTTAAAACCATAATATCGAAGTTGTCTCGAGATGTTTGATGGATAAACAAGTTGGTGCATCAATTTTCTTCTTTATAGATATGGCCTAAGGTGATCTCTCAATTCTTGAGTTGGTTAACTTTGAAGTACTGTTCAATCATACCACAACTGTCATAACTATTGAGAACCAATGTAAGGCTATTATAATTAATTGTAGATAAATTATGCACCAAAAACTATTAATACTTAAATTATCAATAAATTATGTGACATTATGTCATGGTCTAAATTGAACCTATGAAATTATATATATTCAAATAGCTCTTGATAGCAAATAAAGAAAGGGAAAAATACAACAGGGGGAGAGAATTATAGAATTCAAAAGGAAAGGGAAGAGAAGAAATACAGAGGGATCAGAAGGGAAGAATACATTTAAGGGAAAAGATTACTCAAAAAATCCACACCTTTCTCACTACACCATCTTCTCAAATATAGCCTTAGATTAAGAATTATGCACCTTATTAATTGCACTATATGTATTATTCTACAAAATTAGTTTCCCTGTGCCTAGCACATGGGAGCGTAAGTTTCTCCCTGTGCCTTCACGTGAGAGAGTTAGTTGAGTGTAACGGTTTCTTAGTAGGAATGGAGGTTTTGGGGTTGGAGGGTGCTCGGAGGATGGTGGTTGTGATTAAAGGACAGCGATAGTGATCGGAAAGTGATCAAAAAGTGACTGGTGTACGATTGGTAGAGGTGTATATTCAATTTTATGTTGCGATGACTGAATCAAAGGATATGATTGTTGAACCTCTAGTTTGGAATGAAGTTGAGGTAGAGAAAGTGCTTGTTGGAAAGGTATTATCGGTGAAGGAGATTAATCGTGCTACAATTGAGGCTGTTGGAAAGTGATCAAAAAGTGCTTGTTAGAAAGGTATTATCGGTGAAGAAAGCATGGAATCTTCCATCTAGTGTAAGTGTTGTTGATATTGTAAAGAATACTTTCTTCTTTAAATTTACTGATAGGAAAGAATATAATCGAATACTACAAGGTCGACCTTGGCCGATCAATGGTCAACTTCTGAATCTAATGGAATGGAGGAAGTTTATGGTAATTGAGGAGTGTGATTTTAGTAGATGCCCTCTGTAGGTTCAATTTCATGGAATTCCATTGGAGGCTATGAATCTTGAGAATGTTGTGCATATTGGTAATCGATTAGGTGAGGTGGTGATAGCTAAAAATCCACGTTATAATAATCAAATACTCTATAGCTTTTTACAGGTTAGAGTAATATTAGATTTGAGGAAGCCTTTGGCAGTGGGTTTTTGGTTACCTAAGCTAGATGGTGATCAAACTTGGTTCATGATAAGGTATGAGAAGATTCAAGATTATTGTTTTCATTGTGGTTGTGTTGGTCATGTTTTGTGATCATGTCCTCATGAAAGATTAATGTCTGTTTTGAATCCTAATAAGCCTTATTATGGTGCTTGGCTTGTTAAAAACTAAGTTAAGACTTATGAAGAGGCTATTGTATTGATTAAGAGTGATTAGCTTGAAACTAATTTGAAGTGGCAGCAATTAAAGAATATAGAGAGGGAGAGGGAGCATCATATTGCTAATAAATGTGAGGATATCTTTTCTGTGAATTCCATTGCTAATTCTGGAAGTAGGGGGAATAATAGAAAATTGGAAAAAAAGATTGAGAATAATTTTGTTGAAAGCAATTTGGAGTCAGGAGATAATAAGGATAAAAATAAGGTTGTTTCTTATTACAATGTTGATAAAAGCCATTCTCATGATCATGAGGATGGTCCCAGTGGATACAGTTTTACTGGTGATGAAGATGAGTTAAGATTTGATTATTTAAATAATCAGGGATTAGAAAAGTCTGGTGGTTTAAAGGTTGATGAGATATGTCAACAATTTGATTGTGCTGATAATTAGAAAGTTGAGAATACTTGTGCTTATAAAGTTGAAGAGCCAGATGATGAAGACAATTATTCAAAGGCTATTATGATATTTGAGAAAAAGGATTTGAATGTTGTAGTTGAAAATTTTAGTAGAATGTCATTGAAGAGAGGGGCAGAAGAGATATTAGAAGCTAAGAATGTAAAAAGATCTAAGGTTGAGCCTAACAACACTATACAAGGTTCTCTTATCTTAAATTTTGCTATGAACTTGAGAAAGACTAAAGCAAGACTGAGGCAAAATTCTCAAAGGAAAGGTAAAAAGCATATACTTGATGAGAATGGCAGTGAAGTAAAGGTTGATGATAGTAGGAGAAGGAGGGACGTATTGGCTGAAGGCATGGGTGGCTGGCCTTTAACAGCCCCCAAGGCATATTGAAACTTCTTTCTTAGAACTGTCAACATTTGAGGGTTGCCTTGACGGTTAAAAACTTAAAGGATTGTAACAGAAAATTTAAATCCTCAATTATGTTTCTTATGGAAACTAGACTTGTTAGGAGTTGTTTAAAGAGAATTAAGAGGTCTTGTGGGTTGGAGAAGGAGTTATATGTGGAACCAATTGGTAGGTCTGGAGGCTTAGCTTTATGGTGGCAAGAAGGGATTAATATGGTTGTTTTACATCAGTCAAAAAATCTTATTCATGTTAGAATGAGTTCTACTATTAAAGCTGTACCTGAATTTGTTACTTTTGTATATGGTGCTCCAACAGAAAGTGACAAAGTGGTGGTGTGGTAGAGATTAAGGGCTTTGGCTAGAGGAGTAGATAGTTCTTAGTTATGTGTAGGAGATTTTAATGAGGTAGGCTCTCAAACTGAGAAGGAGGGTGGAAGACCTGTTGGAGTGAGGAGAGTCTTAAATTATTAAAGATTAATTGATGATTGTGGTTTAATTGATCTTGAATTCAATAGATCTAGATTTACTTGGAGTAATAGGAGGATAAGGGGGTGCAAACATTAGGGAAAGAATTGATAAGAGTTATGGCAATGTTTCTTTTAAGGAGACCTTTGATAAAGCTCAAGTATTTCACTCTGAACCTATGGGTTCAAATCATCACTTACTTATTGTTGACTGCTATTATCTTGATGAGAAAATTCTTAAAATGTTTAAGTTCAATGCTGTGTGGGCTTCTCATCAGAACTTTAAGGGGACTGTTGCTGCTGGCTGGAGTGATGGTTATGTGATGTTTATGAATAATAAAGGTGAAGAGTTTGTGTGGAGATTGAATAAATGTAGAAGGAAACTCATTGAATGGAGTAAGCAAGAATTTCTTAATAGTAGGAAGTTAATTAAGGAAATCAGACTCTAGTTGGCTGACTGCTATGAGGGTGTATGGAATGAGTTAAAAGCACAACAAGTTAGTGAGATCCTGAAACTCCTTGAAGATGCATGGGATTGAGAAGAGGCTTTTTGGTGGCAAAAATCTAGATTAAATTGGATTTGTTATAGAGATAACACTAGATTTTTTCATAACATAGTGATTCAAAGAAGATTGAGAAATAAAGTTTTGAGGTTAAAAGCTGATGATGGGCATTTGGTTGATGAAGCTACAGAAATTAATGAAATGTTTGGAAAATTCTATAGTGATTTGTTTTTTGAGAAAGAATATGAGCATTTAGAGGAAGTATTGAGTAATGTTCAGAAGTGGTGACTGAAGAAGACAATTGGCTGCTGATTAAGCCAATATCTGATGAGGAGATTGAAGTGGCAATTTTTGATCTAGGGGCAACTAAGGCTCCTAGACCTAATGGTTTTACAATAATGTTTTACTAATCTGCTTGAAAAGAGGTCCAAAAAGAAGTATGTGGCATGGTAAAGGATTTCTTTGATGGTGGTAAGTGTTTAAGAAAGATGAATCTCACTCATAGTATGCTTGTTCCTAAGATTGATATCCCTAAATCTATCAATCAGTTTAGGCCGATTGGTTTGTGCAATGCTTCATATAAAATCATTGCTGAGATGATGACTTTAAGAATGAGAGGCTTGATGAGTAAATGTATAACACAGTAACAAAGGGCCTTTGTTGCAAGAAGATTGATATAAGATAACATCATTATTGCTCATGAGGCTTTCCAATATTTGAAGATAAGGAAAACTAGCTCCAGGTATGATTTGGCTTTGAAGATTGATTTGAGTAAGGCTTATGATCGTGTAAATTGAAAATTCTTAAAGGAAGTCATGCTCAGGATGGGATTTAGTAAACATGGGTAGATTGGATCATGGAGTGCATTTCTTCTGTTAAGTTCGAGCTACTTGTTTCTAGTAAGAAAGTGGCAAGAATTAAACGTATGAGGGGTGTAAGACAAAGAGATCCTCTTTCTCCTTATCTTTTTATTATTACATTTGATATCTTGTCTTTAATGGTTCAGTTTCATATAAACCATTGGGATTTGATGGGTATAAGGCTATTTAGAGGGGGACCTATGTTTACACATTGCTTTTTTTTGCTGATGATGCTTTATTCTTTATTAGAACTAAAAAAAGAAGATTTTAGAGGTGTAAAGTGCAGCTTTTGGTTAGAAAATAAACTTAGAGAAATGCACAGGCTCAGCCCACATAACATCAATCCATTTAACTAAAGCTTTTCTTTAATGGATCCTCATAAATAGTTCTCATTTCCAACAAAGATACATATAACCAAATAATTTAGAAAAGACATGTTCGCTTAATTAAGTGCAATTTCTTTTAAAAAATGGCAATGTGATTTTTTTTTTTTGGTAGAAACGGCAAAGTGATTTTAATATATCATAGTGCGACACAACTACTGCCAAAATGCCTGAAACAAATCAATTTTAGCAATTCTAATATTTTCATGTTTTGACTTTGGTGCAGCTATTTTTTGTCGTCATAACGTGAAGTCTCACCGATTTAGAATCTTTTTTTATAATATTTTTTTATTATTTATGGCTTTACTTACGGTTATATTCCTATGCCATTTATTTGTTTATATGCCAACTCAGAAGCTACTATCGAGCTCAAGAGTTTTCATTATTAATATCATTAAAAGGAAAATTATATTAATCAAAGTTCAAGGTTTCATGGGGGAGGAAAAGACTAAAAGTAATCATAAGGAAATTGATTTGCTGATAAAAATGTCTTCTCCAATAAATGATGATTGATGATTGTGTTTTGAGAAGACGTCAGGGCAGATGATCAGATTCTTGAGATGGCTTTGAAGGAACAAACTTGTGTTTTTGCTGGTGGGAGAATCCAATGTAGAAATAATCTAAAAGCCATAAAAGTGGGGTTGTGGATTCAGTTTTTGGAGTGAGATCAACTTGAAAACTTTAGAAGGATGACCATCGGAGGTAGCCACATATAAAGAGAAGCCAAGTTTGTTGATTTTTCTTTTCATTGTATTCCAATCAGAGAAGAGCAGGGAGGCTAAGACCAATAGGATTGGAGGATTTATGGTTGAGGAAGTAGGTGGGGCATAAATTGTCTTCGGAGTAAAACAGGAAGAGATGTAGTTATGGATGGAATGAATAGATTTAATGTAGCTGTAGAGCAGGATTTGGATTTGGAAGGAATGAGGTCATTTCTTTTCAGCCACATTGTGTGTACAGTGATGATGACGAGATTAATTGCTTCAGGATAGGTGGCGGCGGGAGGCATTTGAGAGACGATCTAATGAGTTCAGGGGTTTAGTTTGGACATGTATAGTTTGTGTTTGGAAAGTTTAAGAAAGCAAACAAGTTAACATGGCAAGAAAAGGATTAAATAAAAGCATGTTTATTTCTCATATAAAAAATACACAACAGAATAAAAATTTACTAGCCACGAAAATTGAGATCAATTTGTATATTCTTCCAAATTTAGGGGGGGAAAATTAGGTGAGTTAGCCTGAACGCAGCCCACCAAGAAGCAAGCCTTGTCAGCACGCAGCCGCCAACTTGTTACCCGTTATGGGCCAGCTAGCATCTCATGGGACAGTTTGTTTTCTCAGTTCTATAATATTAGTGATCTTATGTATATATCTTTTTTATATGATCACACATTTATCTTAATATCTTAACATATAATTTTGTTGGTCTTATAATGGTTGAATAAAATTTTCTTTTAAACTTAGTAGGAACTTTGTGATCATAAAGAACTCTTGATGCCTTTTTGGGTTTTAGCCACACTTCTTATATCTTATTCGTAACATCTTCATCAATTTTATCATCATTTTATAATATTGATTCCAAATACTCCTACTTTGTTACTTGTGTAATAGTTTATTTTTCAATACACAAGGTGGGGTTGATCAAAGTCTCAAAGATGTTGAGATCATTAAATATATCATGTGCCATCCTATCCAAGAAAAAGAGCACATCTATCAATTTGTCTATACAAGAAAAATTAATCAAAATATTAGGGCTTGTTTGTTTTCTATTTTTAAAAATTATTTTTTGTTTTTAAAAATAGAACAAATTTAAAATTTGTTTGATTAAATGTCTTCAATTTAATTGTTTCCAAAAATATTTTATTTTTTATTTTTAAAAATAAAAAATAAAAATAACTTTCAGTTGTTTTCGTTTTATTTTCCTTATTTTAAAAATACACTATATTTAATTATTGAAAATTATTGTTAACTTAATCAATTTCTATTATAAATTACCACCATTAATTACCTATAACAATTACTATCAATTTATTTTTTAATTTTAAAACTATTTTTAAATTAACATAACCAAATGAATTTTTGATTTATTATGTTTTAAAAAATAAATTTAAAAATTATATTACAAAACATTTTTTTTAAAAAAAAAACGAGATCAGAAATCAAGCAGGCCTTAATCTTTAATCCAAATCATTAAAAAATGAGCACATTCATCAGTTGATGGCTTCAGCATAATTTGTAAAAGCTAGCATGAATTTTCTTTAAACCTTTTGCCCAAATTATTAGTCCCTTCATAAAACCCAGTACTTCGGCAATGGATGGTGGGGGCTTCTAGTTTGACATTAAATCCAACAACCGACTTTGCAATATTTTGGCATGAATTTTCTTTATAATATACAAAAACAATTCTCAATCATGGTCCTTATGAATCGGATCATCCATATAATATACAAAAAGAAACTCCAGATATTTGATATCTTTCTTTTTGAATGAGATCTCAATTCTAGAGACGGTTTCATTAGATATCTTACAACTAGAATCCCTTTTTTTTTTTAGATCTAGTTCCTCCACCACGGCAACCCCAGTTAGATTCAAGCATGATATACTTTTTAGTTATTGGGATAATTGAGCAAGCAAAGCCACATATTCCAAGGGAAGAAGAGACATAAGCAGAACCACAAACACCAACATGGATGATACATGATACACAACTTCATTGAACCATTCAAAACCTTAATTGACAACTCGAATTCTAATTTGAGAGCAATTTCAGATTTACTATCAATCATAAACATACCACTTTTTATCGATCAAAGTTAAGTGAAATTGTCAATAACAATTAACTCTATTTTTATAGACTTAACTCTTATGATCTCAACCTTTAAGAACTCAAATCTATAAACCTTCTTGTTTTAAAATCGCTACTTTTTTAAAGTTCAATTCTTATAAATAGGACTTAGGCTCAAGCTCGAAAGCCTACATAATAATTTTTAAATTAAAATTTATAGTTATCCTTAATTAAATAGATAAAAGCTAATAATAAACTTTGAAGTTTAATTCAAATAATACATATTCCAAAATGTAATATAAATCATAAAAGTCCAAATTGTCTATTATAAAAAATTAAAAAAATTTTAGTTCTTATTATCATAGATCTTCATTCAAAAATAAAACATGAGACCATTTATAAATAAGTCTACTTGGAAGAGGTGGTGCTAGTTTAACAACCTCACCAACTTCATTTCGTTTAATAAATATTTAATAAATTGTGCTGTTATCATATATTAATTCAAAATTTTAAATAAAATATGTAAATAAAGTTAAAAAATTTATAAGGGCTTAAAGGTTAGCTTGAGTTTGTATAGGATTTAAAAGCCTTTTTATACTAACATTTTTTATTCTTTTCAAGTCTCGACTTTTAAAAATAAGGGCACCTGAATAAAGTCAAGCAATTTTATATGTATGCGTGCTTTGTATGTGTGTATGCGTGCTTTGTATGTGTGTGTCTCCGGGGAGACAAAACTAAGCATTAAATTTCTCGTCATTTTATTCAGGAAGTGAGAATGGAAATTCTCGGTTCAGTTGTTGGGAAAATAGTAGAGTTAACAATGATGCCTATAGCAAAGCAAGTGGGATATTTATTATTCTACAAAGACAATTTTGAGGAGCTAGAGAAACAAATTGAGGGGTTGAAGACAATCAAAGAGCGCATAGAGCAAGGTGTTAGTGCAGAAAGAAAAAAGGTAAAAGAGATTCACAGTGATGTGCTGAGCTGGCAGAAAAGAGTTGATGAGACCTTGGAAAAAGTAGAGAAACTTTACGAAGAACAACTTCATCATGCTAATCTGTGGTGTTGGAAATGGTCTTTTCCCAATTTGAAATCACGACATAAACTTGGTAGAAAAGCAAGGAAAATGGCATTCACCATTGCTGGACTGAAGGAAAAGGGAAGGTTTGATGGTGGAGTTGGGTATGATCCTCCTCTAGTTATACCAAACGTCATTTCTGCTACTAGAGGCGTTGAAACTCTTGACTCAAGAAACATGAAGAAAAAGGAGGTTATGTCGTCTCTAAGTGACCCTCAAGTAAGCAAGGTTGGAATTTATGGATGGGGTGGAGTAGGGAAGACCACTCTAGCAAAAGTAATAGCCAAACAAGTTAAGAATGACAAGTTGTTTGATGTAGTGGCTATGACAACCATATCCCAAACATTAGATCTTAAAAGAGTTCAGGATGAGATTGCATATCAGTTAGACTTCAACTTGGAGGAGATGACCTCAGTTGGAAGAGCTGATCGCCTGTGTGCAAGGATAAAGAAGGAGAAAAATATCCTCATCATATTAGATGACTTGTGGGAGAAAATTGATTTGGAAAAGCTAGGAATTCCTTCTGAGCGAGATCTTAAGGTTGGCAAATCCTCGTTGGCTTCTTTACATGTAGCTTTTTCCCAAAAAAATGAGATTTATCAAGGTTGCAAATTATTGTTAACTTCTAGACATTTAGATGTCTTACAGAAGAATGACACTCAAGAGAACTTTGCTCTCGAAGAATTAAATAATGCAGAATCATGGAATTTGTTTGAAGATATGGTTGGAGATGCTATCAAAGATGCTAATTTGCAAGGGATAGCGACCCAAGTGGTGGAAAGATGTGGAGGGTTGCCTGTTATGATTGTCGCAATTGCCAAATCATTAAAATATAACAAGAATATTCATTATTGGAAGGATGCTTTGAACAACTTAAAGAGAGTTGATGGAGACAAGGTTGGGACTGTTTTTTCATCTTTTGAATTCAGTTACAACCGATTGAAAGATGATGAAATGAAGAAAGTATTCTTGCTCTGTGGAGTACATGGACCATCCATGTTTTTTAGTGACTTGTTGAAATACGCAATTGGTTTGGGCGTTTTGAAACACACAGATACCATTGAAGATGCCAGAAATCGACTTTATAGAATAATTGATGACTTGAAGGCATCTTGTTTGCTGCTTGCGGATGATGTAATTGCAACTGATGAGATTAAAATGCATGACCTTGTTTGTGAAGTAGCTGTCTCAATTGCTTCTAGGCATGAATATGTCTTCACATCGAAAGAAAGGGTGCAAGATTGGCCAAGTAAGGATTTTCTTGAGAGGTGTACCTATATAATCTTAAGTCAGTGTTTTATTCAAAAGCTTCCTGATACGTTACATTGTCCCAATATGAAATTTTTCCACTTAGATAGCTCAAATAGGACTTTGGAAATTCCATATTCCTTTTTGGAGGGGATGAGAAATCTTGAGGCATTAGATTTAACAGGCTTGAACATATCTTCATTATCATCAATATCTCTTGTTTCATTGACCAAACTTAAGACATTATGTTTGGATCAATGCACTCTGAATGATATGACTGGAATAGGTGCCTTGATAAATTTAGAAATTCTTAGCTTCATCTATTCATCCATGAAGGAGATTCCAAGAGAAATGGGAAAATTGACTCATTTAAGAATGTTGGATTTGAGAAATTCTGGAATTGAGATCATCCCTCCCAATATTTTGCCCTCATTGAATAAATTAGAGGAGCTTTATATGGGCAATGCCTCAATTAAGTGGGAGGTGGAAAGTTTAACTAAGCAAAATAAAAATGCCAGTCTTGCTGAGCTTGGGCAGTTAACAAGATTAACTGCTTTACAAATTCAAATTCGTGAGGCTTGGAGTTTGCCAAGCGACATAATGTTTGTTAAGTTGGAAAGATATTATGTTGTTATAGGAGATAAATGGGATTGGTCTCCCAGCAGGGGGACCACAAGGTTGCTAAAGCTTAAGCTAGATAGCAACATTCATTTGGAATACGGGATTAAAGCATTGATTAAAAGAGTAGAAGATTTGAACTTAGATGAAGTAAAAGGCATTTCAAATGTGCTTTTCAATTTGAACAGCGAAGGATTTCCTCTACTAAAGCATCTCCACGTCCAAAATAATGGTGAAGTTCAACATATCATCAACACAATGGCGAGGTACGAAACTCATGTTTTGTTCACTAAATTGGAGACATTATTACTTTATAATCTCAATAACTTAGTGGAGATATGTCATGGCCCGATTCCTGTCAATTCCCTGGGCAAACTCACAGTCATCAAAATCAAAAATTGCCAACAATTGGTATATCTGTTCTCTATTTCAATGGTGAAAGCTCTTTCCCAACTTGTTGAGATTAAAGTTTCCAAATGTAGTTCAATGAAGATGATCGTGTTTGTTGAAAATGTAGATAGTGACATAGCTATTGATGATAAGATTGAGTTTTATTCAATGCGCTCCTTGAGTTTATGTCATTTGCCAGTCATTGAAGGTTTCTGCTCAAATGAATTGACGGCTTCTATGACAGCTAAGCAGAATTCATTGAGAACTAATGTTCCTATATCGTTTTTCAATGGCAAGCTGGTATGTTCTTTTTCATTTTATATATCATTTTTTATTTGCAATTCCAAACAAATTACTTCATCATAATCATATCATGTGACTATGACATTGATCATGTATGATATGTTTTAAATGAAAATGAATCTATCCTGAAGCAGAATATATTAGACTATTGATAGTTAAAAAAGACTACTATTGATTATTTTTTATCTGATTTATTATATTTTATTTTATTTTAGATAGAAGCACTCTGACGTATGATATATATAATTTTTTAATTAAATGCATATTCATTCTTTGATGAAAATTATCAACATTTTCATCATGCTAAAACAATTCAATTGGCATTTTCCATCAGGTTGAAACCATCATTTGTTTCTTTTTCACAGGTTAATTTTTCTTGTTTGGAGACCTTGAAGTTGAGTTCAATCAATTTAGAAAATATTTGGGATGATGATTACCTTTTCGAAACCAATTTTATTCATAATTTGGCTAACTTGATTGTGGAGGATTGTAAAGGCCTCAAATGCTTATTCTCAGCTAATGTGATTGGAAGTCTTCTAAAACTTAAACATCTTGAAGTAAATAACTGTGACGTGATGGAGGAGATAATTTCTACAAAGGGGAGAAATAACATGGCACTAGAAAAGGTAACAAGATTAAAATTTCAATTAAAAATGTTATGTCATTAACATCAAACATTTATTTGATCTTAGTTATATTTCGGACTAGTAAACTATACATTGTACCACAGGTCTGCTTCTCAAAATTGGAGACCATGGTGATAAAAAACATGAAAAGGTTGAAAAAGGTATGGCACTTACAATTCAATGGGTTGAAGACTTTGGAGGTTAGCAAATGTGAGAGGCTTGAGAATATAATTCCAATAGATATGGGGAAATCACTTGAAAGTTTGGAGACATTAATGGTCAGCGATTGTAACTCAGTACAAGTGATTTTTGGATTCAACTCCGAAAAAGGCATTGCAGGGAAGACAACACGACTACGGAAATTATCTCTATCTCAGCTATCAAAGCTGAAACAAATTTGGAGTAGAGATTTTCCAGAAAACCTTCACTTTCATAATCTGCAACTTATATGTGTTGAAAACTGTGAGAACTTGGAATACCTTTTTCCCTTCTTCATTGCGATGCATGCAACTCAACTTGGAGATATTACCATAAAGAATGCAGGGAGGATGAAAGAGATTGTCCCTTACAAAGAAGGCTCTGTTGATAGTCCAATCAAATTTGAATATAATCACTTCACCTCTTTAGTGCTTTGGAACTTATTTGAACTTGAGGGATTTTTTCCCCAAAATCATAGATTACTATGTCCATTATTAAGGGAATTAGATGTCCGCAATTGTGGGAAATTGAAGCTTTTCCAGGCACAAGGTGCAAGCGGCCTAGATAGAGTTTTTGATAGTGAACTTCAAGTCTCAATGCAGCAGCCTTTTTTCACACTTGAAGAGGTATAGACATTTTCTTATAAGAAATAACTTATTTTAGTTCAAAACCATAAATATCTCGATACATGCAATGTTTTTTAATGTGATAACTTTCTATATTAGAAAAACATAATCAAGTTTGATTAAGAATCCTATTCATCAATTGCTTCCCGCCTTGCTAGTGTATAGTAGATTATTAACCATTCAAGTCTACTGGTTCCTGTGCCGCCACCCATTAGCTGTGGCTCTGCGGTGACATTTTATTTTTTATTTTATTTTTAAGAACAAATCTTTAAATTAAATTGTTACAAAGTAGAATTAGATGTATTTTGAGACCCAAAAAATATACGCTGCATGATTGCCTGACTTCAGGAATTTACTTTTTTATCTAGCTTTGCTTGAAAAAATAGCATCTGTAGCATGGAGAAGGAGATGATCCTTTGTCTTACGTTTTTTTTCATTTAACAAGCATTTTTTTCATCTATGTTGTGTACAGGTGATTGGCAATTTGGAGACCTTGGCCCTGAATAGTGAGGCTGCAAGCATAATATTACACCATCAATTTTCAGGGAAACGCTTCAGCAAACTAACATGTCTTGTTTTTGCAAATTTTGAAGATGGCCAAGCTACTTTTCCCCATTGGTTTATCCATAGCATAACTAGTCTCAAAGTGCTAAATGTTGAATGGAGTTCTTTCAAGGAGATATTCCAAGGAAAAACTATAGATGAGAAGAGAAAGTTTGATATCAGAACGCAGATCAAAGAACTTATACTCAATCAATTACCTAAACTCCGACATATATGTCAAGAAGGATTTCAAATACATCCAATTCTTGAGTTTCTTGAATGCTTACAGTTGTCGAGTTGTTTTGATTTGAAAAACTTAGTGCCTTCCTCTGTAACTTTCAGTCACTTGACGTACTTGGAGGTACAACATTGCAGTGGATTGATTCACTTAATTACCTCATCAACAGCAAGGAGTCTGGTAAAATTGACAACAATGAAAATAAGCAACTGCTATTCACTAGAGCAAGTTGTGGCGGAAGAGAAGGATGAGTCTGCATACGAAATTTCATTCAGTAGCTTAGAAAATTTGGAGCTTGAATGTCTGCCAAATATGAGGAGGTTTTGTTCTACCAATTGTGTGTTGAACCTTCCATTGTTGGAGAGAGTTGTTGTTAAGCAATGCCCAAGAATGACCATCTTCTCTGTGAGAGACACAAGTACCCCAATGCTTCAAAATATACTATCAAAGGAAGAAGATGAAAAAATGTATTGGGAAGGAGACCTGAACAGAACAATTAAAAAGATGTTTATGGATATGGTATGTTTTAATTTGGTTCAAAAGTTTCTTGTAAATATAAGAGGGAAAAAAATAACACCATTAAATTTTTTTTTTTTTGGGACCTAGAGCAGGAACTTGTTATGGATAAACTATTTGAAAAGGCCAACTGTTTTTGTTTGGTTTGCTTTAACGGTCTTTACTTTTCTTTTTAACTAACATACACATCAATGTTTACAGGTGGGATTCCGTGGCCTCGTGTCTCTGGAGATATCTCAATGCCCTGAGTTAAGAGAATTGTGGTACAGCCATGAAGTTAAGCTAGAAGTGTTTGGTAATTTGAAAAGGCTAGTAGTGCATAAATGTGAGTTTTTATCAGATGTGCTGCTGCCTTTAAATTTGGTGCATACACTATCCAACTTAGAAGAGCTTGAAGCAAGTGAATGTGATTCACTAAAAGCTGTGTTCGATTTAAGCAACGTGAATGGAGAGGAAGTGATAGTGAAGGAGACCATTCAGCTGAAAAGAATAACTCTCCTTCATCTACCTATGCTTAAAGACATATGGAAACTCAACTATAAAGAAATTGTCAGTTCTAGAGAAACAACAGAAGAAGAAGAAGAAGAAGAAGAAGATGAAGAAGGTGCTATCCGGCATCAGCAACCAGCATATTCCATTAAACAGGTATGACACTGGCTTCTTAACTTGTTCAGATTGTATATTTTGAATATTTTTCTTATGTTTAATTTCATCATATTTACTCTCAATACATAGTAGGAAAATAGTGTTTGGCCTACCACGGAATTTGTGTGTATATTAATAATTAAACACAAACATACAATTAATAATTATAATTATAATTATAGTTATAATTATATGTTCTCTTAGCTTTTATATCCTTGTTTCGTAGCACGCTTTGATGCCTACTACCAGTCCTTCTGCTTCTAGTTTTTTTAGAATTTTATCTTTTTTATGGTGTTGAAGTATTTAATCATACATTAGTATTCAAAATAATTACCAATTAATGATTTAGATTGTAAATATTGGTTTAGACATTTTCACATATCAGAGTTTCATTTTCTACAAATTACTTTTGAATTAATGTACATTTTTGCCCCTCAACTATTCATGTGGAAGCATTTAATATCTTAAATTTTTTATGGTGTAATGTCTGATCTCAACATTTGAAAACAATACAATATTGCCTCAACTACTAATTTTTTACATTTACAAATTCTCCAAAAATTTATAACTTAATTAGTGTATCTATGATTTACAAGTGCATGTGTTTTGAATTATTAAATAATATTTAAATTTTGGGAATGGATATAATAATAAAATTTAAATTATTACATATTAAAGTATTAATATTTTAATAATATATTATTGAAAAAAATATATCATTTTTTTAATTACTTAACATTGTTGTCAATAATTGTGATTCAACAATTACCTAGTATCCAGTTAGATTGGTTGTCAAAATGATATTTTAATGTTATAAATGTTTGTTTCTTGAAATGGTTATAAATATTTTGTGTAACTTTGACAAAAAATTTATAGTTATTTTAGGGAGAATAACAAATAAGTCCCACAAAAATAACTAAATGACAAAAGAATATTATGAAATGGAATAATTACTTTGAAAACTCTAGGAACTTATTCTGTATAAATTTTTTTGCAAAATTTTGCCTGTGACCTTCTAAAAAATAATAGAAAAAGGTTAGTTGTCATTTGCTACTCAATTTCAATCATTTCTGCATTTGATATGGTTATTTACCCATCTATAGTCACTAACCTACATACTCTTGCACTTTACTAATAAAAAAATTGCAAAATTTAGTTGTCATTTGTTAGTTAATTTCAGTCATTCCCTCATTTGGAGTATTTATTTTTTCATCTAAAGTTGTCATCGACCTAAAGATCCTTGTACTTGATTGATAAAAAAAGTTACAAAAAGTTCGTTATCATTTGTTACTCAATTTTAATCAATAATCTGGTCAAAGTAGTCATTTTCCATCTAAAGTAATCACTTACATACAAATCTTACACTTGATTGACTAAAAACTTTGTTGAAAGTTAGTTTTTACTTACCAGTCAGTTTTAGTCAATGACTTTATCAAAATAGTCATTTTCTTCATCTAAAGTTGTCACTAGGTTAGATAAAAATTTCATAGTAATTATTGGAAAATAGTTAAGAGTGGTATTTTTTGTCAAATAAGTTCCTATGAACTTTAGAATAATTATCTTATTTCATGATAATTTTTGTCAATTGTCCATTTGGGATGGGATTTATTTGTAACTTTTATTTTTATATTGCAAACAAATAACGCATTAAATTTTGGAAAATAGTTGAGAGCGATGAAGGGGACATTGTACTAAGGGAAAAGTTTGTAAATTTAAATAGGGAAACTAACGATAAACAATCACTGAAAAAAATTTATATCAATTAAAAATAGTTGTTATCAAAATTTGAATGAAAAAAAGTTTGAATGAACTATTGTTAACTTAAAATAAATTATTATTAAAACTTAAATAAATATTTGTTGATAAAAATAACCTAAATCGACAAGTATTCAATCGAGTTTTAACAATAAGTAATTCTTAATAGATGTAAATTTCTTCCAACAATCCTTGATTGATATTTTTTCATTTAAAAATAGTTAGTCACATGACAATCCATTTTCTTTTCACAAATATATGTGTTCCTTAAAATTAATACTATTTGAATTAGATGAGTCAAATATATATGGAGATGATGCACCACAAACTTTGAATTCTTTAAAATAGGGTTATACAACATTTTTGTGCCTTAACTATTCCTATAAGAGTGTCTAGTATTTTAAATTTTTTGTGGTACAATGTTCCCTTTTAATAATGGAAAACGGTGTAATGTTGCCTTATATATAATTATTAAAGGATAATTTTAACCATTAGTTGATTGAAGAAATTATATAAAAGAATCCAAAAATTACAAAAATAAACCCAAAAAAGTGAAATATTATTTTGAGAGACGTGTTATTTCTTACTCTTGTAGAAAGCAAAAGATATTATTAAAACATATATAATATTTTTTCGTTACTTAGTGTTGTTGCTAGCAACCGTGATTCAACAATCACTTGATAATTGAACAAAGTGGCAAGTTAAAATGTTACTTTTGATTTTTACATGAATAAAATATAACAATAATTTCTTAAATTTTATTTGTAATTTATGAGGCTTAATCAATATTAATTTTTTATAGAGTATTTATTTAAAACTTTTAGTGCCTTTTTTTTTAATTTTCAAGATTCTTTATTGATATAATTTTTGGATCAACTTATAATCAAAATTAATTAATAGTAGATACAACATTATACTATTTTTTTAATGTTGAATGGAAAAATCACACCACAAGAAAAATTTAGAATACCAAACATGTATAGCTGAAGAATCAAAGTTTGTGGTGCATCATTCCCATATGTAATTGACACTTCTAATTCAAATAGTATTAGTTACTATGAAACACTTACATTTGTAAAAAGATAGTGGACTCTCCCATGACTAACCACCTTACAAATCATAGTAGCAAATTATTGAATACGCTTATGCCGTTTTTAGAACTCAACAAGACATTATTGAAACGCTTACATTTTACTACTCTTCTAAATTTGACTTTATGTATAGATACGTAAACAAAATTTCAAGAATCTTATCCTATATGAGTTCTAAAACCTGGAAGCTTAGTTGGAAATTATGAACAGTTTGTAAATTACAAAACTCGGTTTGTTATGTGCACAGCAGAAGCAAATGTGGAGTAGAGATTCTCAAACAAGCCTTAGCCTTCATAATCTGCAAGTTGTACTCGTTGAAGACTGTAATGCTTTAGAATACATTTTTCCATTTTCCATCGCCATGGATTGCCTCAACTTGAAGAAATTACCATAAAGTATGCGGGGAACATGAAGGAAATTGTTTCAGCCAAAGCAAGGCCCTTAGATTGTCCTCCCAAATTTGAATTTAATCATATGAGCTCATTAGTCCTTTGGAATTTGACAGAACTCCAGGGGTTTTTTACTGGAAATCACAGTTTAGCATGTCCGTCATTGAAGCAATTAGATGTCCGAGGTTGTTTCAAATGGGAGCTATTCATGAAACAGGGTACTGGCCACGAAGGAAGAGTCCTTCATAGTAATCTGCAAGTCTCAATGCAAAAGTCTCCTTTCCCACTCGAAGAGGTATGAATTTGTATTGTAATGCCCTGAACATGAAACCATAGACATAAATAATACATGGGTTTCTAATTTTTCTAGAGTAAATCAAGCTTGGTAGCTAGATAGCTATGTGTGCTATATCAGATCATTTGATTAATAATGTACTCGTTTCCCATTGCTCAGGACAATATCTCTAATATAATACAGTTGTTTTACCTGAGATATTTCATTTGTTTACATGCACTTACATGGTATAGGTGATTCGAAACTTGGAGATGTTGGCGCTCAACTATGAAGATGCTAGCATGATATTACAAGGTCAATTTTCTTGGGAGAACTTCAGCAAACTCATATCTCTTAATTTGACCCACTTTGAAGATGAGAAGGCTACATTTCCATATTGGTTCGTAGAAAACATAACCACTCTCCAAACACTGCTTGTTGAACATAGTTCTTTCAAGGAGATGTTCCAACATGACAGGCAAAATGAGATTCAAACCCGAATTAAAGAATTGACGCTCAATCAATTGCATGAACTCCAGCACATATGTAAAGAAGGATTCCCAATGGATCCAATTCTTGAGATTCTCGACTTCCTATGTGTGGATGGATGTTCCAAATTGAAGCACTTGGTGCCTTCCTCTGTAACTTTTAGTCACCTGACATATTTAGTGGTGCAAAATTGTGGTGGATTGGTTCACTTTTTTACCTCATCAACAGCAAGAAGTCTTGCCAGATTAACAACAATGAAAATAAGGAACTGTTATTCGTTAGAGAAAGTTGTGGCAGAAGAGAGGGAGGAGTTGGAAGATGAAATTAATTTTAGCAGCTTAGAAATTTTGGAGCTCCAATTCTTGCCAATGTTGAAGATGTTTTGCTCCAGCATTTGTGTGTTGAATCTTCCATTATTGAAGGAAGTTGTTGTTAAGCAATGCCGAAGAATGAACATCTTCTCTGTGACCACCACAATCACTCCAAAGCTTCGACAGATACTTTCAAAGGAAGAAGATGAAAACATATATTGGGAAGGTGACCTAAACAGAACGGTTAAAAAGATGTTTTTGGACATGGTATGTTTTGATTTAACTCAATTTTCTTGTAGCTCCACATAATAACCCCTTCCAAAAAAATTTTGACATGAAACACGAAAATGCGATGGGCAAACAATTAGAAAATGACAATTGTGTATTATGTTTAGTTTGCTTTAACGGCTTTAATTTATTTTTTTCCTGACCGCACGCATCGACTTTTACAGGTGGCATTCCGTAGTTTCACGTATCTATGGCTATCTGAATATCCTGAGCTAAGAGAATTGTGGTACAGCCATGTTAAGCAAGAAGTGTTTGGTAATTTGCAGACAATGCATGCAGAAGTTAGGGTCCTTCTTTACTTCTGAAATGTGCTTCTTTTTGTTGGCTTTCATGTTATCAAACCTAAAAGTAACTATCTCAGAAAGATTATATCACCTCAGAATGTAGCATAAAATTTATTGCATCAACCAACTTAGGAAGAAAAACTCATCAACTGGGATGGGTTCTGGTCCAACTCCTTTGGCATGTACTCGCTACCCCCAAAATGGTTGATCACCATAGAATGGGACTATAGTTGTCGGCCACTGCCAAGAAACATAGAAACCATAAAAATAACAACAACAACAACAACAACAACAATAATGACAACAACAATGTCAACAATAATTTTATTTTATTTTTAATAAAATACCAGAATCAGAATACATGAAACTTGTCTATGTTAAAATGGGTCACAACTTAAAAATCTTAAACTTGTTGATAAGAAATATGGAAAATGCTACTTTAGGAGAAGATGATTATAGCTGTGTTGTTGCCAGTTTCCTTTTTAGGCAATTGGGAATATTTTACAACTTCGTTTTTAGCAAGTTGGTAGAGGTTTCCTCATGGGAAAAGAAACCTCATGCCTATAAAAAAGATGCTGAAATGCATTTGAGGGCAGAATTGATGAATGAATATCTGAAGCATTATGAGTTCTGAAAGCTCTCTCTCTCCCTTCAATTCCGCGTCCCTCTTCCCTTAACTCTCTTTCTCTGTTTTCTGTCACATCTCTCTCTTTTCTCCTTCTCTGTTCTCGTTTCCCTCTCCCATCTAAGTCTCTGTTTTTGTTTCTTTTCCCTTATCCTATTCTGTTCAAGTCAGTGTGAGTGTGAGTGTGTTTGTGTTACATCACTTGTATTGTGTTGGATTCTGATAATTTTATTAGGCCATTGTTTTCAGTTAGGAATAGACTTCATTTTTAGTCGGTCCTAGCAGATATAGATGTGATGTGTATTTATTTTAGAATCTATAAATTACTTACTGCAGCTTTAGCCCAGCAGCTGTAGTTCCTGCACCTCCATGATGTATCTGGAAGCAATGGGTAAAAGAATAATAATTGGAAAAATACAACCAAAAATAAACAAAGAGGTCTGTAAGTTTGCCATTAAGAATGGGGAAAAAAATTGCCTTGGAAATTTTGCAGATAGGTCTTAGACTTATAATTTAGCTAACAAAACAAAATAATCCTATTCCACTCGACAGTTTTCTAACTAAACCTGTCCAATGACTGAATAATTTTTATTTTTTTTATGTGAGTTCAATGGTCCTTTCTTGTTATGCTAGGATGCAACAAAGACGTTAAAAAAAATTTATCAGCAGTGAAGTAATTGAAGTCAAATCTCTTCATTAAACCGCTTGGATCAATTTCCTTTGATGAGAAATTTGGAAAGATTTACTCTAGGAATAGGATACTTTAGTTAGATTTATTTATATAGTATATTCTTCACCCTAGTTATTGAATGTGTAATGTTCCAAAAAGAATAGATAAACAGCTCCTCGGATCAGCATCAACACACCACAGACAAGGCAGACTTAGAAGCACTTATCATGATTGTTTATTAGGCCTATGTCATGACCACATGAAGTGAATCGTCAATATAGCCAGATTTAGCAGGGTTGCTGTGTCCCACATTCATGAGATGAACTGCAATTCTGCCCAAAATTTGGACTCAAGCACAGGCTAGCTTACGTATGGTTGGGCTTTGATCCAGGATCCAATCATCGTTTAGAGTCTCTCTTCACTTCATTGACCCATGGCTTCAGTCTTCAAATCTCAGGCGACTAAGGATGTGTTTGCGTTATAGTTTATGAAACGTGTTTAATTCAAATGCAAAATGGGCAAAGCAACATCATGGTTTGGTTCTTGCAAACAGGATACCGAATATAGCCTACAATAGATTTTAAAATTTCATCTCTTATTTATTTATTATTATTTGAATTCTTAGGTAACCTTATTATAATTATTAATGATAAAGAGAAATAATTTATTATAATTATTAATGATAGAGAGAAATAAAATAAAGTATTAATGATAAGGAGCAGTACTTTAAAAAAAAAACAATTTCAGAAATATACTATTATTTTTTAATAAGCACGAACTTAATTAATTTCGTCGTCCTTTATAGTCACGTTAACTACATGAGGGGGTACATGCTTTGTCGATTTACAAAACCGAGGCCGAACAGCTTGCAGACCAAACTTTGCGTACCTGGAGAACTAATGCCGCCATTATCAACTGAACGTCCAGTGGCAATATCTCTTTACATCATGATCCATTTCCTTCCTAGTTCTCGGCGGAATATCTTCGTCACCCTGGACACTGACGGAGAGATCGCTAGAACTCGTGGAACTGAAAGAAGAGCTCCGGCGGACTGTCGGCAAGTCCGCCATTGCCGCCGCCAGCCCCGGGAAGAGACATCGATGGTGTTGATCTAGTTCTAGATCCGCTGTACTGTCCAGGAACAGAGATATAAGGAGACAGAGAGAGAAAAGAATATTTATAGAATCGAGGAAGCGAGAATTCAGAGGAATTATCCTTCACCGAGATTCATGACATGGCCATACAGACTTACAGAGTATAAGAGAGAGAATACGTGGGGGTGGAATTTGGAGACGAAGCTGTATTGCGTTAGTCAGTGACGGATATAGAAAAATTTAATAACGAGAGCAATATTTATATCAAATATTAATATTAATATTTTTTAAAAAAATAATTTTAAGTAATAATTAAAGTAATATATAAATAAATTATGTGAAAAGTTTAAAATTATATATTAATTTCATTTACATCATAAATTTATTTTTATTATAAATAAAAAGGTAAATAATATTGTTAAATATGTATGCTGGATAATTTTTTAAAAAAATGTGGGACAATTAATTTTTTATGAAGGCAATTACAATCCTAAAGAGGGCCTGAGGGAGTGAGTGTAATTTTTTAAAATTTCAGGCAATTGTTCCCTCTTTCCCCAGCGTGGATACGTCCCAAGTGTTAGATCGACATCGTTTTTGCGCGCTGCGCCGGTTCATGTTACACAGCTTCGCGGACAACATTAAAAAAACTAGATTTATTCTGAATGCCAAGGACGAGAATATTTTAATATTTAAAAGGTAAAAGTATATAAATTTAAAAAAAATTATCTGAATGTACACAAGTCTTAGATTTTATTATTTTATTATTAAAATTTAAAAAATAACTTATTTTATTGCTAAAATCATCTTTCCATATATATTAAAGATATAGATAATTACTTATTTTATTTTATTTTAGAAGGTGTTACTCAGGGCAAATTTAGGGGGCCGTTTATGCTTTTTTTTTATTAATATGGGGAAAAACTTTGAAATTAAGCTAAATATGAACTTACTGCTAAGTTCTACCTCTCCATAATTAATTGAAAAAGAAAATTTGTTCTTCAAAAAATATTTCTAGATTTATCATTAGTTGTCCCATATAAATTAAAATATAAACAACAATAACCCCTTACATATTAAAAAATGTAAATTATTTTTTTTCAATTTCTCACGTCATACAGATTGAAATATAATATAATCATCTTATTCTCTTTTAAAATGTATTGGCCCATGCATCGCTTTAAGAAAAATAAAATTAAACATGTACTGTGATAAATAATATGTTACGATTTGTTATAATATTATTTATAAATTAAAATTATAAATTAAATTTAAAAATAAATAAAAATTATGTATATTTCATATATTAAATTAAAAATTACAAAATTGATATTATAGCTCTATTTATTAATCATATATACACACACGACAAAAAGACAACAATTTAGATAAGTTTAAGAAGTGTGCCATAGAAGATAATTTATATTTGAAAAGCTGTTATTTTAACATTGGTAACGGCTTGTTGAATTCTTCTTTTAATTTATATTTGAAAAGCTGTTATTTAAACATTATGTTAGTTAAAGTTAAATATATTTGTTGCACCCGGCAAAAAAACTTCTAAGACAAATTTATCATTTAATTCTAAATAATATTATGTTATAAAAGAGAGAGAGATTCATTATAGTACATGTTTCATTTTTACGAAAGTGATACCTGGGTCAACAAATTCTATAATAAGCTAATAATATTTTAATTTGAAGGAGGTGAGAGAAAATAAAAGTTACTCCTTCCGTTTAAAAATATAAATTTTTTTTGAGAAGTTAGATGTTCAAAAATGTAAGACACTTTTAGTCTTTCGAGGTTTAATTTTTACTTTTTTTAAAAGTGTCCCTATTAATAATAATTTTATATTTATTGTAGGGTGTTTAATAAGGGTAAATATAAAAAGATAGAGTTAATTTAAAAGTAGGTAACTATTTTATTAAGGATAAGATTCAATTAAAAATGCCTTATATTTTTGAACGAAGAAAGTAACTTTTTTTTTTAATATGCATGAGTACATAGTAAAGTAACATTAGGGGCAACAAATTCTTAAAAAAAAAAAGTTACTATTCATATATTTTAATTGAATTAAAAAAAATTTATTTATATTTTAATTTATAGAAAATAAAAATCGAGTTGACATTAAAATAAATTATTTTTAAAATTTTTATTTTAGTGTTAACTTTCAAGTATTAAAATAGAAGTAAATCTAGTTAAATGTTTTGTTACCAGAAACTAGTATGATGACCATACCAATGAAGCCCTTTTAATTATATTATGCAAAATAAAATATATATTACATATTTAGTTTCCAAAGCTTTTTACATGGAAGTTTTTAATTTTGAAAATGTTACAGGGTGTGTTTGGATTTTAATTGAAAAAAATTGATTATTAGAATGTGATGATGTTTGGATAAAATTTCAAGAATTAATTATGATAAGGATTTTTCAAAATGGAATAAATTTTAACTTATTCCAAATGGAGTTTTGAAAACCAAATGGAGTTTGGAAAAATTAAGATATTTGAATAAAATTTTTTAAAACTATAATTTTAAATCTAAAATTGATTCTAAAAAGATATCCAAACATGCTCATATTACGCTCTGTGTACGGTCTGTAAGCTTCGTGATTATAAGAAGTGTTGTTGGCTGATGTGATTTTGGTTTCTGCTGTATTGTTGTCCGTTGGTTTGGCTTGGTTTCTTTGCTTTTCTACTTTGCTGTACCTTTTTTGTTTTGTTTTTGTGAGTTTTGTGCCGTAGGCTGTATTTATAAGTTTTTTTTAGTGTTTTTTT